TACATAACCTTATAGAGAAGATTTAGGAAGGTAGGATAAAACCAAAAAAAGTGTACTTAAATATATATAGGAATTTTTATTGTTCTGGAAAAAAGAAATCAAAACAGGCTCCCGTAACACCCTACAGCTGTATCAGCCTGTTTTGCGTAGCTTTGTATCAGAATTGTTGTTCATCGCTTTTGAATTTTCATAGCATAGCAATGTAGTCGCAGGATGGTAAAATATACACCTTCTAGATGGATCTAAATTGCTCTTTTTTTCTCCCTTTGCAATAAATATTTCATTGTATTTTCTATAAAGTTCATATATAGGATTCATAACAAAATTCCCTTCTGGAGTTTAGAGATAGCAGCTTGTGCAATCCCAGGTTTCTGCAATCCACACTGTTATCTGTGTGTGGTCAGGCAGGAGTGGGTACCAGACATCTTATGAGGAGCTCAAAAAATGTTTGACTTCTAGCAGAATCTCATCATAAACTATGATTAAAAAACCTCAACTGTTGAAATAAGGTAGGCATTTTTTAGAATCAAACATTACACACACTCTGGTGTGAACAATAGCTATTTTTTTCCAAGGATGCTAACCTCTTCTGGTAATTATTGAAAGAAATTATTCTCTGTGATAGATAAATTTTAAAAATGGTGTAAGCAGTCGTCTGAAAATACCTCTTTTCATCTTTAATAACCTAATTCTTACCTCATTAAGCTAGCTGATTGGGTATTAATTATGATTGACTACTTTATTGGAAGGACATACAGCAGTAAGAGCTTCTGTTTGTCACAAGAAGATGAAGTCTTCAGCTGCTCAGTTAAGTACATGAGTGAGATGAAATGACAGCAAAGTATCTCCACAAGGAGATGTGATATGAAACTAGATTTATTTAGGACAATCTAATAGAGAAAATTGGAATGTTGAGAGTTCCTTGAAAACTCTCCAAGTATTACTGTGTGTGATTCAGGCTGCAAAATGGTAACAGCTGTAAAGAATATTGGGTTTGACATTTCCTATAATACTGGTGAAGATAAAGGAGGTGAACAGTCTATGAGATATGAGAGATTGTCACTATCCCTATTTATTATGGACTGTGTTCTACACTCACTGCTGGCAAATAGCAGTTGAAGTTTTGCCAGTGTAAGTCCTTATGTTTAGGATCACATATATTTGCAATTATGGAGGGACGAGTACACGGTCCCTTGACTTGCTGCTTTGTGTCAGTAAGTAGATGTGCTACATTAAGTTGGTATTCCTGCACTCAGTAAACTTGTGCCTCATTAGGGCTAACCTTGAAAACAAATTCATGGTCACATAATGAATGTACGCTAAAATAGGTTAGGCCATAAAAATGGTTAATGCTTGTGGGTATGCCTTCAGTTTCCTGCTTTAAACAGCTCTTGGACTCCTCATAAATCTTATGAATGCCAAGGTAGGTATCTGGAGGAATCCCTTAAATATTTCACTTCCATGTGTCTCAGGTCTGCTATTTCCTGGGGGCTAATTAATGTGTTTATGAAACAAAGACTTTACTTGTATATGTCCTTAGAGCTTCTCATGAGAAGGGAAATGAAGGACCAACTCCTGTTGCTTACTAAGTATGTTCTTCTATTCCTGCATTAAAGTCCTTCAGCTGAATTTTCTTACCCTAATGAATTCAGTCCAAATCACTAAGTCAAATCTTTCCATCTTTATTTCCGCCCCTCCCACATGTCTTTGCCCCTTTCTCCTTCTCATCTTCTCCCAACATCCCATCTCCTTCCATTCCTCAGCAAAGCAAACTTTAGGACACAATACATACTGAATGTAAATATGAGTAGATGCAGTAACATTTCAGAAACCTGCTTCACAGGACCAAAGTGGGCAACAATTTGAATTTTCCCATACTATTTGTGGCAATTCAAAGCCTGAGACTATGACCAGGGATGTATTAAGGCAGGAAAACTTCGACCCTTGCTCCACTGTAACGGGAAGGAAATTTTAGCTGGTTAGACAAGCCTTTTTTCTTAGTCTTAATGTTATGAACAGATTTCTGTATGTTTTGGAGCTAAAACCCAGTTACCTTTGCTGATTAATACTTCTCAAAAATTACTCTTTTTTTCACCAGCAATTGCAGTACTAGCTAAACAGACTTACAGGATAAATTAATTCTTGAAATGATTGCCCATGGATCTTACTTTGCAGCTTATATAAGTACCTAGTGAATGGGAATATGGATGAGACTATGAAAGGCAGAATGGGAAAGTTAAGACTTTGTTCATACATGAAATAAAAACAAATTATGCAAGGCCTTGAATAGACTTTTATAAATGGCTTTTAGCTACTTTTAAGTGCTGTTCCTGAGACTACTTTTTTTCACAATTGAGTATATTAGATATAACTACAAATAAATCGCCTCTAAGAGAACAGAAGGCAGAAGGAGAGTTATTTACTCAGGAGTATTCAAATACTTCTGCAAACTCTTGGGTGTTATTGTACTAGACTTCCAGTGGATATTCTTAACACTTACAAGAGATGCAATACACAAATATTATCCTTTCTGTACAAAACGGTCAGTGGAGACTGCTGGGAGTGACATATCCTTCTGTGGTGGTGTCAGCTTTGACTGCTTTCCAGATTGCCTTGCTGGGAGATGCTGACTGCTCAGTGTGATGCCCTTTGCAGATTTGAGAAACTGTCTGTCTAAGAGGTGCTTATACAGAAAGCGATGAGTTTACTCCCTGGATGGCTGAGCTGTTTATTTCTTTTTTGTTCCCAGTCCTCAGTGGCTTGGAACTTGTGAGCTAAACGCTGATAACACTGTGTGGCAGTGCAGCCCTTACATGAGAAGTCAGATGCATGGAGGAATTAAGAGTATTTCAAGCCATGCTGAGATCCTAGTTTCCATCTCTTTAGACCAAAGTCTGCTGATACACAGCAGGAGTGGCCAGTGTCTGTGATCAGACGGAGCTGTGGGCAGAGGCTGAATGTGTGACAGATATCCCTTGAAGATACTTTTACAGGGGTGGGTGATGTTGGGGTTGTTTTCTTTTAACGTGTCAGGTGCCACAGGGCAGCACTGGAAGTAGCAGTAATAAAAGCTTCTCTCTGCTCCCTTCCTTGTGTGCCTGACTTCTCACTAGGTGCAGCAGCAGTTCAGTGACCATGCTAACTTAAACATGGGCCTCACGCTGACATGTGAAATACCACTAGTCATAGTGGGGAAACCTGTTTAGCCAGGAGGATATGAAAAAACAGGTAATTTGCTGAAGTTCTGATGGCTTTGTTTTGTTCTGGGTTTTTTGGTATGGGTGTTTGGTTTGGTTTTTTTAGTGTTTTCACAGAGGTTTTATACTTTTCACAGAGGTACCAGGAATAAGTTTCTTATGAGGAAAAAGTTTTCCCCAAATTTTTTGAAAAGGTACACCTAAATTGTACAAAATTGTACACTTCATGTTGGCACGATAAAAGTTTGCTGTTACCACACAAGAACAAATATTGCAGTTTATCATAGCCTTGTGTCACTTACCTAGAAGGCTGAGGCCCTATCAAAGACTTTTGGGAATTGCAACATAAAACTTGTTAGTTATTTCACTTATATATTGTATATGTGTGTATATAGAAGATGTATATACAAATAATGTTAGTAACTAGACCGCTTTTTTCCCCAGTGCAAATTAGAAAGGCACATCTGAAGAAAGGGGCAATTCAGGCTTGACAGAAACAAAAAAAGAGCCAGCAACCTCAGTGCTGAGCTGCCCAGACAAAGTGGAAAATTATGAAGAGCCCTGATGATGATGTTCCTCTATGGCCTAAAGGAAAGCTTACCTAGAATGATGCACCGAGTCCAGTTACACCTCCTCTTTTACAGGAAGAAATGCATGCAGTGTGTTGACTGTGTGACTTGCCGCCAGTTATCATTTGGCCTGGAAAGAAGGAAACCTCTTAAGCTTGCCGTGTCTTAATTCTGTTCTAAGCCCATGATTCCTGTATCCCAGATATATGTCCCCATCATCAGATTTGCTTAAGCTAGGGAGGTCATCTTTAATACATCACTTGAAAAGCAAAACAGTTTGTTGAATGTTGATTTCAACTGACACTTAATCCGCAAGGTCTTAAATTTCTGGATAGTAATCATCTGGCTATAGAGTCAGATCTCTGTGGTTCACTTTAATTTTTTGTTCTTGTTCCTGTAAACTGAAACCAGATTGATGGTTATGACAAGCTTGTTTGATGATGAAAAACTGAAGTTAATGACCATGTTTCCAGTAAGACAGAAGACTTGAAAGCAGTTTGTCTTTTAGCTGAGTACTCCAACCAACAGGTTTCTGTTTAAAATGGGAGTGACCATATGTGCAGCCAGTTCTCCAGTTGCTTTGTCCGAGGCCTTACACAAAAACCATGTAATGTGGTATGCTTTCACAAGCAGCATAGGCAACAGTATGCAAATGCTGCTGGACATTTGAGCAGCACTGCTCTTTCATGTGTGACTCGCGGCAGAAATGTAAGATGCCACAGATTCAGGCACCAAGTTCCTCGGTAAATCTTGCCTCAGATCCAAACCCAAGAGGAATTTGAAATAGCTGGTAGTGAGGACCTCAGTTACAGTGGCCCCTGTTTTGTGACGTTATGCTCCGATTTGTGTTTCGTGCTTTTAGAGGCCCAGATCAGTGCGTGGCGGCTCCTTCGTGCCCCACGTAAATTCTGGCAACGAGTACAGGCAAAGCGTACCAGTGCCTAAGACGGACGCTGCCTGGATACCCGCATGTAAAATGGAGTTTAAAACCGGCAAGTGTTAAGATGAAAGCAGAAGGGCTTCCCCGTGTGCGAGCGCAGGGCAGAAGGGAGGTGCGTGCAGGGCCGACTCCAGCCCTGGGGCTGCCGGGGCGGGCGCCCCTCCCGCCGCACAGCCGGGGGAGCTGCGGCGCTACCGAGGGAGCTGCCCCGGCCCCTCAGCCCCGGCCCCGCTCCCGCCGGGACCGGCCCCTCCGCCCCGGCCGGGACCGGCGGCGGCGGCCCAAGCCGACTGCGGGTGACGTCAGCCGCCATCCCGTGACGCCCGCGCTCGGCTCGGAGCCGGGCCGGCCTCCTTGGAGAGGAAAGGACCCTCCCCCAGGGAAGCGAGCCGCCAGCTGCCCAGCAGCCGGGAGGTAACCGGAGCACACACGGGACGCGCTCCCGTCCCTCTCCTGCGGCCGCGCAGCCACCGTGGCGCCGCCGCCGCCGCGCGGCCCTGGCGGGTCCCAGCGCCGCTGCCCGTGCCGCGGGCTCCACCTGCAGCACGACGGCCCGGCCGGGAGCGGGAGCCGAGCTCCAGCGCGCCTCCGGCAGCGAGGGAGGGAGGAAAAACAGGGAGGGCGGCTCCGGGGCGAGCGCGGAGCTGGGCTGGGCTCGGCTGGGCTGACTGCGGAAACCCCACTCCCCTTGTTTTAAAGGTGCCTCCCGTGGGCTCGGCAGCCGTGGGGCGGTGGCGCCATTGGAGCCCCGGGGCCACGGGTTTAAGAGCTGGTTGTGAAAGAAGGGCAGGACCGTAGAGGGCAAAGGCGATTCAGGCGCCTGTGTGTGCCTGTTGCTCCAAACATACCTGGTTTTCCCTTCTGTTACCTGTCCAGGGAACAGTGGGGTTTTTTTTCCCCAAGTCACAACTCCAAGGAAACTGTATGGCTTTAGTGTGCTAAAACACGAGTTGTACATTGCTGTGTGTGAGGTAGGCCTTATGCCCACCCTGTGAATGCCTGGCCAGTGCCCAAGGTGCTTTCCCTGTTCTGAGAATGGGATTGCCAGAGTCACTAACAATTTTTCAGTTCTCAGAGAGGACGAGAAGGGTAGAGCGATTTATTTTTTTAAAATCCTCTCCTCACAGGTAGATCTTTTGGGTCCTGTGTAGCTAAGCATGTTCAGAATTATTTGGAAAATACATATAGATCTGAATGCACTTATAAAGAGTGTAAGATGATTCATTTATAATGCTTAGGGGTGGAGGAGTTTCACAGGATGACTTCCTGAGATCTCTCCTCATTCTGTATTGTTCCACATTTCAAATAAAAATAGGAGAGTAGATATGCTCAGTACGAGTAAGAACAAAATGTGAAGGAGGAAATCCTAGCACAACATTGCTGCAACAAGTAGGCAAGAACTTCCAAGAGTCATTTTGGTAATTCTGTAAAAGAAGAGATCAGTCATGCTGGAAAAGGTAGACGGAGACTTTGTTTCTAACAAAAAGAATCTGTCAGCAGAATATGGGGTGGGGTTTTGTGCCCTTAGTCTCTAAGACAGTGAGAGCTGTAGTTACTGGGGTGTAAGACCTCTTGATTCATCTCTTGCTGTGTAGCTACCTATTGAAGACTGCCCTGAACAACAGTTGTTCTGGCAAGGCAGTGGTGCCCGTTTTTATCAGGAAGGAATTGTTTTCATGGAGGGCACCGTTTTGTATGTGTTCTCAGGGCCACTACCTGAGATACAAATATTTAATCCTGTTCCTGCACCACGTAGCTGATTTCAACTTGCCAGTGAAAGGAGGTGCATGGGTTGGTTTCAAGCACTTGTGCATACTTTGTACTTGTTTGTCCTTTGAAAAGGACGGACCATCTGCTCTTTCGGGCGCTGTCACAGAAGACCAAAATCATCATGCCGTTGTCTGAGTTGATGGTAGCCTCATGTGCTTAGTACTGTGTGCTGTTCTGGTGCTCACACATCCAAAGGAGTTAATCGACCTCAGTAAGCCAAGGTCTAAGAGCTTGAATAGTCTTTAGTAAGGTACCAAATGGCTTCCATATGTTTAAGAGAAACTGAACAGGCCTGAAGGAGGATACAGGTGGAGGGTGAAACGGAAAAGGGAAGATATGAGGAGAAATGCATAGTATTATCTAATCAGAAAGCAAATTAAGAACAAAAGGAAGTACTTTCCCACAAATAATGAAACTCATTGCCTCAGGATGTTATGGAGACAAGGTATAATTGGGTTCAAAAAGGATTTATTCAAATGTATGGAAAAAAAATTCATTACTTGGATTTTGCCTCTGGCTCCTTAGGAAATCCCAAAACAGCTGATTGGTTTCTAGAGCTTGCAGAATAAAAGATAATTCTACAGAAGTAGTTTCTTCTTATACTCCTTCCTAAATATCAAAGCTTGCTGCTTCAGAAGCACGTCACATTTTAAAACCTTTTTTTTTCCCTTCAAAAGCAGAAACAAAAAAACCCCAAGGATAGTGGTAAAATATAGTGTTATGTAGTGTGACAGTATTAAACCAGTGTAAACACAATAGCTTCAAATCGTGCTCAGTAACGTTGGTGCTGTCCAACACAGGTACTTTGGCTGGAGTGAGACCTTGAGGCTGAATGACTTTAGCACAAAAATAGTGATTATGAGAGCAGTATAATTGCAACTAGTACATCAGCTTCAAATACGCAGATGAACAATACTTTATCATCTTTAGATACATAAATCACATATTTTACCTGTTGAATAGAACTCTATCATAACTCTAGTATTGGAATGCTAGGTTACATGCATAACTTTTTACTAGTTCATAAATCATTAAGAATTAACTGCTGTTTTTAGAAGTGGTGTCTAATTTAGTTTAAATGTTTATTTTTTGGTGAATAAAATAATAAATCACTAATTCTATAACCTATTTTTACAAAATGCTACTAAACTGGTAAAGGCTGCTGATGTTGACAAGAACACTGGTTATTCTCTTGCCATATTGGACATGAAATTCATGGTTTATTTGCAATTTGTGAATTCTTTTTTAAGATGGGCAAGGTTTGCGCCATTTTTGGGGGATCCCGAGGAATAGGCAAAGCTGTTGCAGAACTCCTGGCACAGAAGGGCTGCCACCTGGCCATCATTGCTAGAAATCTGGAAGTAGCCCAAACCACTGCACGTGATCTTGGTGGTATGTATGCTGCTTGCAGGTATCTCTTCACTGTCCCGTGCTTAGGTAACTCATAAAAGTAGGTAACTCAAAAAGTCCACAAAGAAACCTCATTGTTCAACTAGATAAAAATGAAAATAAAGGTCAAGAAATTTAGAAGAAATGCTATGTCAGTACAATTTTGTTTTTACAATATTTGTTGAGAAAGTAAGCATGTTACCTATTCTGTCCACAAGATACAAATTTTAAGATAAAAGAAATTATTTGAGGCCTCAGCAGGGAGGTAGTGTGAATTGAGTCATCCTTGGCTCCTGAACAAGCCAGAACTGAGACTGGTCTGCTCATGCTGAACTTCTGATTTTAAAAGGCAAAAAATATAAACCAAGGAATCCTCACATAACTAATCAATAAAATACTTGAAAATTGTCTTTATTTAATTCACTGGAGATAAATGGGTTCCTTAAGTTATAACTAGTTCAATGTCTGTTTTGAAATTGAGTTGATAAATTCTGAGGAAGGTTTATGAATGATATACGAGCTTTTACTGTTATGATAGCATGCCTTTATTTCAACACAGCAGGACACCTGGCACTTAGCTGTGATGTATCCAACGAACAAGAAGTCCAAAAGACTTTTGAGGAGATGCAGAGGAATTTAGGTCCTATTAACTACTTGGTTAATGCAGCTGGGATCAACAGGTTAGTTATTTGTTACGAGATTATATGTGATTATATGAAGGCATCTCACTGTAAGGTGCTGTGGGCCCTTGCATTCAGTAAGAGTGTTGTTAATGAGTGCATCTGAAAATAGTATTAATTGCTCACCAGTATTTTGTTCCTGGTGGCAGTAAAATGCTAACAGATTACAGAATCACAGAAGATTCTGAGTTGGAAGGGACATGACACAGCTTTCACTGTGGTTTCTGCATCCTGAGTTTGAGTTCCTTCCCCCTCTTCTTTCTTCCACTTCGCCCAAAATGCTCCCAAACAATGTTTGATATGCTGCAAAAGAGGCCTCGTTGCCAGAAGCGTGGCTAAATGTTTTTCTTGCTGTGCGTTGTGCTTGCAGTGTCTTCATTTTGAATGCTAGAATGTAGAGAACCACATGCACCCCCATTAACATTCCATTCTCCAGTCATGTTTTAATACAAGCAAGCATGAGCAATGGGGTTGTTCAGTGAGTTCTTTTGGGTTTGTTTGTCAGGGATGGTTTGTTACTGAGAACCAAGACTGAAGATATGATAGCCCAGATTCACACTAACCTTTTGGGAACAATGTTGACGTGCAAAGCTGCTGTAAAAGTCATGATTCAACAACAGGGAGGTGCTATTGTCAATATAGGTAAGTTGCTTGTCTAAGCCAATGGAATTCTGTGTACTAATCTTCTGGAAAGGTTTAGTAGGTGTAACATGTTTAATTTTCTTTGTATTTAGACATTCTATATTTAGTATTTCTTTATGAAAGCTCATTCTGTTGTGTAGTCTCAGCAACCTGTAAATATAAACCTGGCTTGTTTCAGTAATAAACACCTCAGAGTTTAGATTTTGTTGAAAAAAGAATTTTGCTATTCTTTATCAGTTCTTTCAGTATCTACATATACTAGGTGCTAGTTATTAACTAAGGATAGATAGATACAGTCGGTTTCTTTATCTTTTCTTTATCTCCCCTCCCCTTCCCTTTCTTTCATCTTCATTCTCTTTCTTTTCTCTTCTTGTCTCTTTCTTAATAATCAATGACTTAAATCTGTGTAAAGATAATTTTTTTACAAACTCGTCATTTTACTCTCCTGGTGCCAGTTGGTCAACATAGATATGTGAATTGCGCAAAAATCACAGATAATTTGGGGATTTGCTTATGCCAGGGGCAGGATATAAAGTGCATACAGTAATATATATTTGACTCTTTTTCTTGTAATCTCATTTTTCATTCCAAATTTAAAACTAAAATGATAAAGCTAGTACAAGGTTTCAAGTTATCCATTTAATCTTCTCTTTGATGTTTCTTTATTTTAGGAAGTATTGTAGGACTTAAAGGCAACGCTGGTCAAAGTGTGTATAGTGCTACCAAAGCAGGATTAGTTGGATTTTCACGCTCTCTTGCTAAAGAAGTAGCAAAAAAGCAAATTCGAGTCAACGTTGTTGCTCCAGGTGAGTTTTTGAGAAATTCCTGCATCCTTGACTGCCAAAATTCATCAAGACTGTGGGTACTCTGAAAGCAACTTAAGACAAATTGGTATTATCTTCTTCAACTTTGTAAGTAAGTGTTTTTAATATCTTCTTTTTTTCTTTGGTTTAAAGTATAATACATTCTTTTAGAAAACCTTCAGTCTTTTAATGGAACACTGAGAAACTTGGAAGAGTGAGTCTATCTGTTCATCTATCCGCTGTTATATAATAATTGTCTTTTCCTTGTTACTCCTTCAAAACTTGCTGTCCTTGCAGATGTAAGGATTAGAGCTAATTATAGACCGACAGCTACCCCTGTCTCCTTCTAGAGAATGCTTACTTGTTATTAGAGAAACGTGACAGATCAAGAGAAGCTGTATAAAAGCATCCCTGTCTCCCTGTAGTAAAAGGAGGTAGTCTGAAAACTTAGTTCTGTGAGGACAAGGCTGTGATTCCATAAGATAATCCAGCTCAAGCAAACCACCAGCATTAAGGAAAAATCCCTTCTCTATTTTCTGACTTCTTACACTCATAACTATGTACATTGCTGCTCACTTTGTGGTGCCTCTGATGCTTTTCAGACTTCTACATGAACCAGTTCAGATTGTGAACTAGGCAGGAAAAATTCTTCAGTGAGTTGAGCAGCTCATTGAAGGGTCCGAAGCCATCATAAGGGGCAGAGTTTTACAGTAGAAAGCAAAAGGGAGACTTTCCCTGCTTGGTGGCATCTAGAAAGCAGGTAAGATCAGCTCTTGATGAAGCTGCAGCTTATGTGAAGAGTTGTGCAGCAGTGGGAAAACCAAATCTCAGATAACGTAAAATTGAAACAAAATATCCTTTGAAGATGTCAAGAAACAGTCTTCAAATGAGTGCTATGATAGAAATTATGCAAGTGCTGTCATAAGCTCTAATATACAATGAAAACTCTTGCAAGCTGAGAGGGTTTCTTGCCAGAGGTTTTGTGCTTGTTTTAATGGAGAATATTTTGGTGAAATGAGTGTGTTTTGTCTTTCAGAAAAGTGATACTAAATATGGTTTTGGGACCCAATTTTAGTTACCTTTTTTTAAAATGGATTTCTATAGATCTCTGCGTTTGGATTATTACATCAGTGCTTCCAAAACTGGAAGACATTTTATTGGTTAGACAAAAAATTGGTCTTGGCTGTAAAATGATGTGGACTATTTTGGAGACTTTTAAGAACGGTAGCTGGTGACAAATCCTGGTAATAGATTTCACTTTGTAGGATTCAGTGGAAAATATACTAGATAAATATAGTCATAGGTGAGGTAACTCTTCAAATATCTCCTCTCTTAGGCTTTATTCACACAGAGATGACCGCTCATTTGGAAGAAGATCAGCTGAAGAAAGCAATTCTCCTTGGAAGATTTGGAGAGCCTCATGAAGTTGCACAAGCTGTTGTCTTTCTTCTAGAATCCCCATATGTTACAGGGAGTGTTCTAGTTGTAGACGGAGGCTTGCAGCTTATGACTTAAGTACTACCTTGAATAAATGCCTACTTCAATGTCATGGTGGTAATATATAAATACATACCGATTAAAGGGAGAGGGTTGAAAATTGTTTGAAGATTGATGTATGTAATTGACTTGGACTTACCTAGTCAGAGGAGAAACTCAGCAGCAGTGAAGTGCAACGTGTACGTTTAGCTACCTGAAAGTCCATTTGGTATTATGAAGTCTGTGTATGAAACAATTTGAAAAAGATCTGCTTTTGATATGGTGATAACTGCAATAACATGAAAAAAAAAACCTGATATGTTTTTAAAACAGTTTTTTTATAAAATCTTGCTATCTCATTTGGGATAGAGTAGAGCTTTTATTGGAATTATCATCTTACACAGAGGTTAATAAAGTGCAGAGGTATGTTTATTGTGTGGCAAGTATGATTGCATCAAGTTTTTCATGTAGGGCAAAGATTGCAAACTGCATAGTTTTGCATTCTTATCAGTTATTCCCTACAAAGTAGTGAGGGGTTTCCTTCAGGCTTTGTTTGTTTGTAGCTAACACTACTACAAAGCTAGGAGCCTCTAGATCTTCAGCATACCTGAATTGCCTTTAGGAGATCTAATTATATGCAGTGTGTTTTTATGAAGACAAAACCTACTCAGTTCCATTTTTGAATGTATGTACAGCACTCATTTAATACAGTAGCACTTATGTGTACACACTGAAGGACTGTTGGTTGGTCATTGGAGTTGCTAATCCTGTGATATTCTGCGTTTGAGCTGCACAGACCTTGTTGCATAAAAGACTTTTGAATGACTCAGTAGGTGTTTAGGAAACACGATCACTTCCAGAGCGTGAAGTCAAAGTGCTTTCCTCTGTATCTTGAACACTGAGTTCAGCTGTTAAGTTGATGCTCCTTAATATGTATGTATAGTCAATAAAATCACCATTGATTTTATTCAAAACAACTTCTGAAGCAGAGTAATTATTCAGCTTTAAATGATCCTGAGTATTCCTGTCTTGCTGAAAACTTACCAAATGTTTGACCTCGGGCTTTTCTGTGGAGATCAAGTAATTTTTGATGATGGATGTTTTTATTATCTCTGAAGAAAACTATGAATGTGGTTTAGGATCTTCACTTCTTAGCTCCAGTGTTCATTGCATCATGATCCAGACGTAGATTCAACTTTTGAAATTTCTTCCCTTCTTGGCAAAAACTAAAGTACAGAAAGAAGAGATCTCGCTGATGATAACTTTGAGTCTTTAAAGCTGGAGATTTTCTTCATTTGTGCAGCTGAGAAATTTTGTCTTTGTGCCAGAAAACAGTGCATGTTCAAGCTTCTTGTATATATTATGAAATGAAATATGTATGTATTAAGAAATATCACAAGAGATGGTTGTATGTTGAGGAAATTTTACAGTTGGTTGTTGTGAGGATAGAATACCCTTTCTGCCCAGAATATTTTGTAAGGAGGAGACAGTTTTCACTAAGGAAGGCTTTCTACCTAAAAGGTAACTCTTTCTCAAAGGCAGTTTCAATGCTTCCCCTCCACACACCCCTCATAGCAAGAGAAGTTCTTAGCCTCTCTCTCTGATATGTGAGAGGAGAGAGATAGCCCTAAGAGACTGGCATAGGGGCCTTGGGAAGGCCGGGGAGAGACAGAGAGGATAAAGAGGTCCTGAGAGGGCCTTTGTTATAAAGTGGTCCTTGCATCTGAAATAAACCTTTTTTTAATCCTTCTTCCACTGCCTTCTCATTCTTGGGAAGAATACCTGCATAGATTTTACCTTACATTTGTGTACTCACTCTGGACTATCTAATATCACTAAAGGTAATCCTTTCAGGAGTCCTTCCTGTTATCCCTTTGTAGAGGTGGTGTTATTGGCTGTGAAAAGTTATGTGTTGTATATGTCTTTGCCCCAACAATATAATTGCTAATTAGTTTTCTTTCTGATAGAAGGAATTGGCCAGAGAATTTTTTCCAAGGGCACTGAAGGTGAGGAAGGACAGCTGGTCCATTTTTATTAGTCAAGTAGTAATATGTCAGTGACTTGGCTGCTGCCCATACCTGTTCTTGGTATTTTACAGATGAAGGCCGTGTGACATATCTTGACCAAAAGCCAAACTTAAGTGACTACATATAATTACCTATTAGTGAGTTCTGACCCTAATTATTACTTTTTTTTTTTTTCTAGGTAAGATAGCTGTTAAATAAGTTATTAGAAATGCCATTTTTAGTTTACATTAGTGATTAAAACCTGGAATAACACTTTTAGAAGAATCTGCAGCATGTCGCTAAGTAATTTTTTTTAAAATGTTGTAATACATACTATGTTTTTATTATTGCAGTTGCCATAGGACCAGACTGGAGTGTTGGTAGCCTTAGATCATATTTTTAAAAGATTTTTTTCCCTTTTCTTCAAACTGATAAATTAGAACTGAAAACAGTAATCCTGGTTCTGTTTAGTCTGATGTGATGTCAGATGGTGGAAGCAGGGAATGTGTAGATCAGGTGTATGTCTCCTTAGAAGACTCTTGTACCACCAACGATTTGTGATTGATATGTTTCAACCCACCATTTGGTAGCTCTGGTTGAGGCCTGCAGACATGAAAACAACCCTGTTGTGCGCTGTGTTGCTTTTGAATTTTTGGACTTCTGTCTTATCCTGCCTGCCTCAGTTGTTTCTGTTTCATACTGAAGAGTCATATTTCTTTTAATTGCTTGTTGCTGGTAAGCTCTTTTGTACCTTACATTGTCTTTTTTTGAGCTTTGCTTTACTTTTTCAGTTTCTCAAGGAGGTAGCAACAGGTAGAACTGCTCACAGTATTCACTGTGGATTTATCTTAAAAAAAAAGAAGTTTCGTGTTTTTGTTTTATATGGCTTCCAAAAATAATGCCTAATTGTTTTGCTTTTTCCTAACCTTTGCACTTATGTTTTCAGAACAATAACTTAATTCTGAATAATTAATGAACAACTTGGAGTACATTTCCATATGTAAATATATATATATGTCTGATTTTTTGGTATTTTTCCCAGTGTTAATTGTTCTCAAATATCTACGAGTTTAGTCTGCTGGTTTTAACACCTATTTCGTCAGTGAAATGGTTCAGCAGTTTTTTAATTCCTTAATCCCTTTGTTACTTTGAGTAATTTAGTGTTACTGGAATACACTGTGGGCTTCAGAAACAGTTGTCTCAGAACCTTAAGAATAGGTTGTACGTTGCCTGCCCCAACTGGTTGCTTGTGGTATTCTTTTGGCAGTCTGTGTCCTTAGGAAAGAACAACTGCTGATTCATACCCTTTCTCTTCTATCTGTAAACAATGTACTGATATGACAACTTCTTTAATAGTTTTTGGCAAGGGCATGTGTCAGATGCCTTTTAGAATTTCAAGCATGCAGTATTATTAGATCTCCATACTCTCATCTCTTTTAAGTCCTTAGGAGAACTCTAAAATGTTTATCAAACATGGCTTTCCTTTGCAAATGCAACTGTTGTCTGTGGCTTTAGAATGATTTCTGGTACTTTGCTATGCCCAGAAAAATATAATTAGTCTGTACTTCCCTGATGCCTCTGGAACGTCTTAAAAAGCAAATGGCCCTTCCATCCCCTAAACTCCCAAAAGCTTGTTGTCACTTTTGCCGGCTTTCAGTCACTTGTTAATGAGGCAGTTTAAACCCAAAGTTTCACAGTGATCACTTGATTCCTGTTAGAACTGGGGAGGGATAGCCCCCAGCTTCCCCTGTTTGTCACTCTTTCCTCTGTAATCTCTTTTGATGTTTTGCTCTGAGGAGTAAAATCTTCAACTGGTTGCCTTGTTGCAACAAGTTGCATAGGAGTTCTGCTCAGGTTCCTGCATGGTACCAAAAACTGATTTAGGATTTTGTTCAGAGTTTGGAGATTTTTTTTCTCTGTGGCCTTCCCTTCTCTGAGCACTTCACTTTTTATTTTGATCATCTGCTTGCCTTATTCAGGTGTGGTTCCTGTTCCTAAGGTACTGGTCAGCGTGAATGCACTTTTGCCCATTATTCCTCTACACTCCAATCTGCCTGTAAATTTTACATTCAGTGACAGATTGTTTGACTGATAAAGCTAGACTGCTGGTTTTACAAAGGTTGGTGTTCAAATTCTAGTACCTTTGAGCACATGCTAGCTTCCTTCTCCCCACTAAAATAAGTTTAATTTGATGTGTGTATTTAAAATCATCATACTGAAGTTCAGTACATACAATCTTAGTGTTGTCATCAAGCATTGAATCTTAAGTTTGTTGACTTTTCTTTTTGGTTTCATTTTAACGTACTTTCTTGTTATATGTTGCTTCTTTTTTTATGGAAGTCTTTTTATGGCAGTAGTAGTGGACTGCTGTCTTTATTAATAAACTTAGTCAATAGACTTGCAAAAATAAAAGTAACCACTACAAAGCCAGTCTTTTGGCTCAGGCCTTGTATGGTCCTGGGGACCACAGCCAGAGTTGGGTGGTCCCAATCAGGTACATGGAAAAGAGTATATTAAGAAATTGATTTTGATCTCTTCAATGTGACATTTATCCAAGCTAATCATTATTGCTGTGCATCATTATAGTTTCATTGCTGGCCCTTTACTCCTTAAATGTCATAGCTACTGCCACCATCTTAATTGTGAGGGTAATAATATTATCTAACAACAGAGCTTACCTTAGTAGCTCTGGGTATTCAATGCATATTTGATTTGGTGAGCTAATATATTGGTATTTAGTTTTATGGGTCTCCTATATATTTTGTATCAATATCTTGCTTTTTTGTCTTACTTCCATCGTATTTCTGGTATGCCTGCTATGACCTTGATTAAAAACAGACATTCAGGCTTTATGTCTTGTGCTGCTAAAATCCATGCCAAGCTATATGTAAATGTTTTGGGGTTTTTTACATATGGATGTTCTCAAGTCAGACTGTGCTAGAGAGTGGTTTCTCAATTGAATTTTGAAAACTTCAGACTTATTAGGCATACAGATGATTCCATTCCCAGTGGAAGTGAGAGCATGTGCTCTTATTCATCTGATGTTTTGTCACCTGATACCTTGCTTAAAACTCTCCAATAATGTTTTAAGTAACAGCACCTTCCTGTTTTGTTTTTTGTTTGGTTGGTTTGGTTTTTGTGGTTGGTTTTTGGGTTTTTGGTTTGATTGTTTGTTTGTTTGTTTGTTTTTATTTAAGAATAAAGTATTTTACAGATTCCCACTACTCCATGTCTCTGCAGTTCCTGAAGAATCTGTACTCCTCTTCCTACAACTTTTTTCAGGCATGCATTGAAGCTTTACCATCTAGCTTTGGGAGCATTTAAAAGAAGGCTGCAGTCCAGGTCTGGTCTTTGACTTCCAGACTATGTTTTATTCCTGATCTTTTCTCCTGCCCCATCCCATATCACTGGTCCCTACATGGCCTTTCTCCCCCTCCACGAATTTCTAGAGAGACCACCAAGGCATGTTTTGAGGGTGGTTACTTTTGCAGCTCTCATTTGTTTCACCATGCAGTCCTGTTACACAGCAACCTCCTTCTGGACTCACCCATAATTATTGCTTTGGGTTTTTAACTCAGATGGGTTCCTGCTACAGAGAGGATATCCTTACTAAAAGAAGGTTTGGTATTGCAGTATTTAGTAATTTATGTGACCTGCCTCATCACTGCCAAGTTAGAAAACCAAAACTGTTCTGTTGCCTTGGTGTTCGATTCAGTTTACATATTACAGGTAATGTGATTTGCATTTTCTGGTATTTAGTTGAAGCACATTGTAGACCTAGAAAGTTAATTGTTTTGTATGTCTTCTCTGCATTTTTCCAGTGTTTGGGAAGATGATGGACTACTTTTGTTCATCTTTTCTCCTAGGTAGGTCACTGGAGCCTTACTTTTTTTTCTCTCTAAAGAAATATGTTTGTAGCTTAGAACTTGTTGTAGGGAACTCACTGTCTGACACAAACAGTCTTTTCTTGC